CGACTCCTTAGTCCTCCAGCCAATCGGTAGTCCACAGTTGAACTCTAAACAACAAACCCACATCAAAAATTCAAGAAAATAAAGCCTTTTCTAGTGGATTTTTCATCAAAAGTACTGTAAAGAAACTGAATCGGACAATATGAAAATGGCAGGTTTTTGTTTTTTTCGCCACTTTTAGTTTCTGTTATCAGAGTATTCATCGTGACAAGGGTTTTGAATCAGTGTAGTATGTATGATGACTAATTGATTTTTATTAACTGGGCTTGTGTTTTCTTGGGAAATGATGGTCATTGATGCTTTAACTTTTGAAGGACTGCTTAAAGTTGGGTGGAAAAATTGGCTATGCATTTAGTTTTGCTTCCATGGAGCCATAAATGTCCATTTTTAGTTGTTTTTGAGTGGTTAATTCAACTGTTTCTGAATTTTCAGTTTAATCCACTGTTCTTACTGTATGTGTTTCCCCTCTAACTAAAGCTTTAATTGCCTATTGTATTTGTATGATTTATTTCAAATTTTTACCCATTTTTGGACCCTCCTATTGATGACTTTGCTTTTGATTCCTCATTCCTCAATATTTCTTTTCCTATGTGATTTTGTTTCAATGAAATGTTAAATTTTTATTTCAGGCTTGTGAGAAGTGCAGTGGAATTCTCAAGGGTGTGAATTGTGATTCCACAATTTTCGTCGAACTTTTCAAGTAAGTGGTGGCTTGATATGACTTCTTGTTGAATATATTGAAAATGTTTGAAGCCTTGTCGGCTTATATAATTGTGTCGTGTCAGCTTATATGATCGATTATTGTTTAGGATCAATTGCACATGCGTACATAGTAACTATTTTGTTCTTTATATTTGTTTGTTGTTTTACTGTCAGGTTTAAGTTAGTAATAGGTTGCATAATACATTGTTGAATTTTGCGATTACGTTGATTTTGGGGGCCTAATTTATGAATCTCGCCTCGCAGGACCGGCCCTGCACCAGACCTCCATAAATCCACAAGACCTCTACATATCCACCACATCACCACGATCTCCACAAATCCACAACATCACAGCCGTATTGCCACGCATCTATATATTATCGTTTGTGAAGACGACTCCAAGAAGAAGAAGCGTATATGACGAAGCATTTGGAATCGACCGAAGAGTTTTTCATGCGGAGGGACGAGAGGCAGAGGCAACTTATGATGACGAATCAGTGGCATCACAGTCTACTGCTCGGTCACAACGACGCCGCTGGAGAGATGATGGAGAAGGAAAGGAGAGGGAGATTTTAGGGTTGGAATTGGTAAAGAGTGAGGGTGAGGGTGAGCGTTTTGTTGTGTCCTGTTGTGGATTTTTCTAATTTTTATTATTTTATTATTAATATTTAAAAGATATATTATCATCTGATTTTTGAAAAAAAAAAAAAATTTAATTCTTAACTTTGAATTAGTCAATTAGGAACTTAAAAACCAGGCTGTAATTTCCACTTAATTATTTTATTTGAAACAACAAATTCCCCAAGGGTATACATGTTTTTTTAAAAAAAAATTCGAGGGTAGAATTGAGGTCTCAACGTGCTTGGATTTACATGGGCTGCATGAAGTTACAGATCATCAAACAAGAAGCCCAACAAAGTTGGAGAAATTACATGTAAAGATTAACAATTTCTGAGCTGCACAGGAATGCTGTACCAACAGAAAATCAAAATCTTAGGTGACATGTTAGACACCAGGGCGCGAACAAGATTAAACAAAGAGATCATCCACCTCCAGTGAGGGTCAAGAACGCGATATAATACGTGTATAGAGAAACTCATTCCATATGTCAGGCAAGCCCGGTAGGCACCAATGGATGCAATCTGCAAACGTGGCTGGATCGGCTTGCTGTTTTGGGGTCAGCATCTTGCCTTGGCGAATGGTGTGAACTGAGGTGTGTGCATCTTTCCGATACTCGGAAAGTGTGGTTATGTTAAGGAAATAGACAGGCACTTTCATTGATTCGGTGATGTTTACTGCAACTCTAAATAGCCTGTTGTCTGTGCCTACATCCAGTGGCATCGACGTGTTGAGAATTGGGGTTGTTTCTAAGGCACATTTTATGCCATTCGGATTTTCCCAGTCCAAGCTCCTATATCAAGAAATCAAAATTATAATAAAAACTAGTTAAATTAAGTACTACAACTGATTAAAATGATGAATTCAAGAGGTCGAATTATTACCTAGTAAAACTTAAATATATGAAAGTAAAGGAAAGAATATCCATAGAATGTAAAGAAACAGATGTTAAAAGTTAGCTTCTAAGCAAAGAAAAAGGGACTTTAGGCCTTACTTGATGTGAAGAGGAGACATGCTCATGAAGAAAACTCGAGTTCGATTAGGATTTATATTTTTATCTACCCACTTAGACCAGGTCCTCAAAACTCTCTCGTAGGCCACAGGCCTTTCAATTTCATCGTACTCTGTCGACCCTTTGTCGAATGATCCTCGCCTTTTTGGTTCGTCCCCATGATCAAATATGGAAAATCATCAGTTATCTGCGTGTACATATTATTGATCACGACTAAAAACAAAGGATTCTATATACTTACAGAACTTTCATTGAGAAAGTGTTCATCCACCATATATATGTATTGAAAATGAGATAGTCCACGTTCTTCCAATTCTTGCCATGCTTTTTGATTGATTCTGGCATAATGATCCGGTTCAAAATGCTGTGCATATTAGGATCATCTGAATTTGACTCCACCAGAAATGGTGCCCAGTAAAACTCTACTGTAGCATTATAATCCTGCAAGAAAGAAATTGCTAATCCAATTAGGTGAAAGGTAGTTGATACTTATACAAGTAACACAATTATGATTCAATTGTAATGGCCCCTTATCCTGACGTTGAAAAACACAATCATGAATTAAACGTAACAATACCCAAGACAAATTAACAATTATTGAATCAATCAAGTTGTCAATGTACACAATGATTACGAATTATGAAAAATATGTTCACAACTATCATAGAAAATACCTCGACTCGGAAAACAGATAAAGAGCCAGACTTGTTCAAGCTCTTTCGTTCAGGAGGAACGACGGATTGGACGAAACAAATCATTGATTCCCATTGGTTCCGATTCAAGGAGTCCCCAACAAACATAAGCCTCTTGTTCCTCAGTTTTTCAAGCAACAATCTTGGCTTAAATCTTGATTATTGAAGCCATGAACAATTAATACCAGATTATCAACTTAATCAATCAAAAAATTTCTAAGTAGAAGATTTAATGCTTACTTGGGCAGAGAACAATCTCTGGGCTGCCATCTCCAATTCTGATACAAAGAATCCTTCCTTCCATTCCTCATGCAAGTCACCTGGGCTGTAAGAAACTCACATTCATCTTCTTTATACAATGGGTGTGTGACATTATCAAAAACCCATTGCCCTGTAAACAAATCACAATCTTCAGGAGGCAATTCAATTTCCTCCTCCTCATCGACCTCTTCGTCTTCTTCAACGGGCAATTCAATTTTCTGTTCTTCTTTTTCTTTTTCATCTTTCAAGCTCTCAGATTCTTGTTTCTGATCATGACCAGAACCGGAAGTTTCTATCTCCGTCTCCATTACAGTTCTTGCATTTAGAACAACTGAAACAGTGGTCTGATCGCCAACATTCTTGGAGGGCTCTTCTTGAATTTCTTGACCGGCTACCTTAGGCCTAGAAAAAGGGAACTCAGCAATGGATTTCACGTCCTCGTTGTACATGAAACAACCGAACAAGAAAATCGAAAAGGCCACGACGAAAATAGAGAGATTACTACCCTTGCGGCCCCCGGCGGAGGGCTTCATGGAGAATGATTCGGTGGAGAAAATTGGTGTGAATTTTCGGCGGAGTGAAGGGTGCTGCATGACAATACAGAAGAGTGGTCAGAGGGAAATTTACGAGACAAAAGAAATAGAGTAGAATGAGAATATAAGAGAGCGATACAAACATTTGTTTTTTTAATTTCTTTAATGGAAAAATTTGGTGAAATGGGATTTTCTTGAAGACACTGAAACTGATTTGGTTATGGTGGCCGGAGGATTGTCACTCTCAGTTGCTTACTACTAATCCTTTTCTAACTACTAAGGCGACTATCTTCACGAGAGTAAAATCTTGCTTTACGCAGCTGTGTCTTTCTCGACGGTTAGTAGGCAAATTTAATTTTCGGTTTGTCATGAGATTTTAATGAATATCAAAAAATTACAAATTTTATTAAATTTCGTGAATTTAAATATTTTTTTTACAGAATTCATCAGACTTTCATTAAGCCCTGTTTGGGAGGGAATAAATTTTTTTACAGTATATCAATTCTCATTTTCAACCACATATTCTTCAATAAAATAATATTTGTCACCACATCAATAATTTTTTCTTCTTTTTCAACCACACATTTCCCATCATATCACTATTCAAAATCAATTCTTTCCCCAAAAATCTCTTCCAAACAAGCTCTAAATATAGTGAAATTTCAAAATATATTGAGTATTTTTAAGCTTGAAATCCGTCCAAATATTATGAAATCCCTTTATTAATAAAATTCTTATAAATCTAGAGCTATGATTTCATTGCAATCAATTAAAATCTCATTTAGGAACACCTAAATTTTAATGAATTTTAATAAAATTCATTAAAATCTTAATTGGGGACAACTGAATTTAATTTTTTTTTTAAAAAAAAAAAATCCATTAAAATTTCATTTAAAGACCCCTGGAAACGTCGTCTTACTTTAATTTATCTCGATTACTCTAATTTACTTTCAAAATGAGTCGCTCATTAATCCCATATACTAAACTTCATGTCATAATACGATAACACCATGTGAAGTTAATAATTAATAGCAATATGTCTTACATTCCAAGTAAATATGCTACTAAATCATGTTTAAAAGTCGACATTTGATTTTGCAGCAACGACACGATCAGTAGCATTTCGCCTCAAATGCATGTGTGATATCCATTGTGGTTCTTCATGCGCCTAAGGCAAAATAGCAGAAGAAATGTTCTAGTAAAGTAGAGGGCTTTACTTGTCTTTTGCGAGTAACGTTTGCGATCTCCTCCCTTCACTACTTTCGTACACCTCATGTAAAATCGGCCAAACATGTCATGTTCAGAGTCTAAAATTTCTTCTAGTATCAGAGCTAAACAAATTGAAATACCTCATGTAGTTAAGACTGTGTTAGTTGTATTCAAAAAATGAGAACAAATCGGGACCAGGGATGAAACGTTAAGTTTAGTACGAATTAAAAGTTAATACAAGATAACACTTGTATAAGAGTCAAATTATATATTTTTATCATTTGGTTGTTCGTATATTTAAAGATGTTAGTTATTGCGTGGGGTACCCTAAAATAGAGAAAACTATATAGTTAGTGGTAACCAACTAACCTTTTTTTTATGATCAAGTAGTTAGTATAACTTGCTAAATAATAATTAAAAAACAAAGATTAGTTGTTATTCGATATGATTGGACAACAAATTAAATCTAATTTCATTTTTAATTGCACAAACCATATTATATTTAGCAAGTTTAAGTTATTAGCATTTTTTACAAGATGGATCATTTTAAAGGGATAACCTCTTTGATTTGCCCAAAAATAATTAATAAAAATTATAAAGGATTAGATAGATACTTGTTAAGATGTTAATTGTTGGTGATGGCTAAGACTAATTTCACCTAATGGCAAATGATTCATCAAATGTAGCTTCAAAGGGAGGGTAGCCCATGTCCAACATGGTCATTCTAAACTGCATTTTGAGCATTCGATCATCGAACGGGACAATCGAGTCCGGTTTAGCACTTTTTCACATAATAATTTTCTTAAGGTCTTTCCTCGTCATCAACCACCCACCGAAAAGTAAAGATTAGGATATGAAGGTTTGTGTGTACACGTATTTGTTTGTGTCACTCACATATTGCCTTTTTTTAAAGTTAAAGACAACTATTTACCTACATAACAACTTAAAAATTAAACCATTATACGGACTATTGTTGGTTGGGAAGCTTCCTAGTCAATTTTTTTTCCTTTTGGAAAGGTGCGTAGGTCTTATCTACCACATTTTGTCACCTATTATCCCCCGACTGATGGAAGAGATACTGTAATTGATCTTTCACGTAATCATTATGTGACACCTTACAATCGAAAATGATAAAATGAAGGTTATGATTATGTCGATACATTGAAGGTAAAATGCTATGTTTATTATAAATTGTTTTAACATTTTAATGACGTGGTGTAAAGGTAGCTTGGAATGTCATGCATTGATTAGTAGTCTGTTGTGGTATGACTGTCAATTAAGTAATTTTCATAAAATTTGCAAGACTAGTGAAATTTAAAACTAAAATTAAGATAGTGACCAAATTGAGATGAATTAAAGTTTGGTTTGACTGTTCGAAGAAATGGGTTTGGTTTGACTGTTTGAAGAAAGTAAAAAATGGTTTTGATATTTCATGTTTGGCACAAATCACCATCCGCCACCGATTTTTGATGTTTCAGGTTTGAAGATTTATTTTGATATTTGGACTTTGAAACATCAAAGTTTGTTTTAAAGATTGAAGTTAATGGGTTTTGGAATGTTTGGACCGAAAATTTGAATTGAATAAAGTGGAAATCACAATCATCCCTAATTTTTATGTTCTCAGTTCAAAGTTAAGAATTAATTTTTGGGAAAAATTCATAAATAAGAGTTTAGGTATAGCTCATTTCAAAATTAAGATAAAAGGTTTACAATGTCAAAAATCAGATATTTATTAAATTTTATTTCTAAAATAATTAATTAAAAATATATTTTATAAATTAAATATAAGGTCACAATTTTATACAATTTGGTGACAAATTATCAAATTAATTGGTCACAAATTATTTACGATCACAAATTTATCAAATTAATAGTCACAAATTTTATTAATCACAACTTATTTCATTGGTCACAAACAATCAAATTATTTATGACCACCACCTCATCACTACCATCAATCGCATCGCTGTCGAAACCACTGTCGCCGAACCACCACCACCACCACCATCTCCGGTAGCAAAATCATCATCTCAAACACCGCAACCAACACAAACACCAGCCTACCACTCCACAACTACAACTCCCACAAAAAAAAAGTCCCATCATCTGCCATCAGACGGAATCTCAAATAATTAGTCACAAACACCCTCACACCACACTACGCCACTCACCCACCCACAACCACTAACCACCACCGTGCCACCACCACCAAATACATCGCTGTCGCATTCCACACCCCTTTAACAACGACCTCCATCTTCATTTGCAACTCCAATCAACCACCACATCACCACTACCACTGTCTACTAGAATCCACCATCTCATACAACACTACCACACCACACCACATCACAACCACCACCCACCAACAAAATCCCCAAACCCATAACAATCACCAACAAAACACACACCAAAACTTATGGTAAAGCAGCAAATCGGAGAAATCACCACAAAATATCGCGGAAGTTGTGGCATAGTGTCTTAACGGCGTAGCTTGTGAATGCCCACGCAGCGGCACAACGTCGTAGCAGCATGGTGTCGCTTCGAGCCACGCGCAACGACTGTTAAAGGCTGCTTCGCAAGACTGTGGCGCAGCATGCTGTCATCGCAATGGAGGATGGAGGTGGGAGAGGAGAGGAAATGAGAGTGAGAGAAAGATAGAGCAGAGACAGTGGTGGCACATGACATTGATGGTGGATATTGGCCGCTTTGCATTGGTGGTACGCGGCTACGTTGCCGTTAGAGAGAATAGAGAGAGGGATTAGGAAGATGGGAGAGAGACGAATAAGAGAGAAATTGTTAGATAGAGAAGGGAGATAGCAGAGAATATAGAGAGAAATTTAGGGTATTGGGGTGAGATGGAGGGAATGGTGATATTTTAATTAATTTAATTTTATAATATTATTATCAGTGTTCTAAAATGCGTAATGCGTTGCGATGCGTCGAGTCGGAGAATCAAGAATCACAAGTTTAGGCTTGTCAATGCGAAGAATAAGCGTCATAATACATTTCGTATTTTTAAGGCATTAAAAATAAAAAAATAAAAAATTGGGCGGCATAATGCGCGCCTAGGCGCGCATTATGCGCCGCCTTTTAGATGAAAACGCATTTTCCCGCGCGTCGCCGAATTCGACGCGTTTTGGCCGCCCGTCGCGCCTAGGCGCGCATTTTCACAAGTTTTAGAACACTGATTATTATTAATATTAAAAGATGAATAAGTATCTGATTTTTGAAAAAAAAAAATTTAATCTGATTTTTGAATTGTGCATCTTAAAATTCTAAATAAGTGTAATTTCCACAGAAATTATTTTTGAGATTTGGTCAATAGGCTATGGGCTAAATTTTCCTTAAAAAAAGGGGAATTACATAAAATCAGGTACTTAAACTTCCAAATTCAAAATTCAAGTATGAAATTTATTTGATCAAAAATCAGGTATTAGTTGGATATTTTGTCAATTTAAATAATATTATAATACTAATATTTCAAATAAACTCTAATTCATTTTCAATCTCATTTTCTCTCACTACTCACCCAATCTCTCTCCCTCCTCTCTCTCTCTCTCTCTCCGAAAAGGTCACAATTTTATACAATTTGTTTACAAATTATCAAATTAATTGATCATAAATTATTTACGATCACAAATTTATCAAATTAATAGTTACAAATTTTATTAATCACAACTTATTTCATTGGTCACAAACAATCAAATTATTTATGACCACCACCTCACCACTACCATCAATCGCATCGCTGTCGAAACCACTGTAGCCGAACCACCACCACCACCATTTCCGGTAGCAAAATCATCATCTCAAACACCGCAACCAACACAAACACCAGCCTACCACTCCACAACTACAACTCCCACAAAAAAAAAAAAATCCCGTCATCTGCCATCAGACGGAATCTCAAATAATTAGTCACAAACACCTTCACACCACACTACGCCACTCACCCACCCATAACCACCAACCACCACCGTGCCACCACCACCAAATACATCGCCGTCGCATTCCACGCCCCTTCAACAACCACCTCCATCTTCATTTGCAACTCCAATCAACCACCACATCACCACTACCACTGTCTACTAGAATCCACCATCTCATACAACACTACCACACCACACCACACCACATCACAACCACCACCCACCAACAAAATCCCCAAAACCCATAACAATCACCAACAAAACACACACCAAAACTTATGGTAAAGCAGCAAATCGGAGAAATCACCACAAAATATCGCGGAAGTTGTGGCATAGTATCTTAACGACGTAGCTTGTGAATGCCACACGCAGCGGTACAACGTCTAGCAGCATGGTGTCGCTTCGAGCCACGCGCAACGACTGTTAAAGGCTGCTTCGCAAGACTGTGGCGTGGCATGCTGTCATCGCAATGGAGGATGGAGGTGGGAGAGGAGAGGAAATGAGAGTGGGAGAAAGATAGAGCAGAGACAGTGGTGGCACATGACATTGATGGTGGATATTGGCCGCTTTGCATCGGTGGTACATGGCTACGTTGCCGTTAGAGAGAATAGAGAGAGGGATTAGGAAGATGGGAGAGAGACGAAGAAGAGAGAAATTGTTAGATAGAGAAGGGAGATATCAGAGAATATAGAGAGAAATTTAGGGTATTGGGGTGAGATGGAGGGAATGGTGATATTTTAATTAATTTAATTTTATAATATTATTATCAGTGTTTTAAAATGCGTAATGCGTTACGATGCGTCAAGTCCGAGAATCAAGAATCACAAGTTTGGGCGTGTCAATACGAAGAATAAGCGTCAAAATGCATTTCGTATTTTTAAGGCATTAAATATGTTTTTATATAAAAAAAATAGATTTTTTACCAAAAAAATAATAATAATAAATAATTGGGCGGCATGATGCGCGCCTAGGCGCACATTATGCGCCGCCTTTTAGATGAAAACGCATTTTCCCGCGCATGCGCCGAATTCGACACGTTTTGGTCGCGTGTCGCGCCTAGGCGGTGCATTTTCACAAGTTTTAGAACACTGATTATTATTAATATTAAAAGATGAATAAGTATCTGATTTTTGGAAAAAAAAAATTTAATCTGATTTTTGAATTGTGCATCTTAAAATTCTAAATAAGTGTAATTTCCACAAAAATTATTTTTGAGATTTGGTCAGTGGGCTATGGGCTAAATTTTCCTTAAAAAAAGGGAAATTACATAAAATCAGGTACTTAAACTTCCAAATTCAAAATTAAGGTATGAAATTTATTTGATCAAAAATTAGGTATTAATTGGATATTTTGTCAATTTAAATAATATTATAATACTTATATTTCAAATAAACCCTAATTCATTTTCAATCTCATTTTCTCTCACTACTCACCCAATCTCTCTCCCTCCTCTCTCTCTCTCTCTCTCTCCGAAATCGCCCATCGGAACGAAGGCCGGTGTCGACAACGCCACCACCAGATCTAACAAACCCCGGCGCCTCTACATGTAGATCTATGGTTTCGCCGGTACACAAATCGCGGTGATTCATGAAATCCTTCTCTCTGCTCACTACGGCGAAGGTGACGGTGAGGGGTGTTGTGACATCGACTCTAGTCAAGTGCGATCTGGTCTGGTGCGGTGGATCTAGGTAGTGGCGACGAGTGTGGAGGTTCGCGGTGGTGGGCTTGGGGTTTTTTTTGTTGGGTTGTGATTGTGGTGATGCCTGCGTTGTTGGTGCAGGTTGTTGGTGGGTTGCAAAATGGTGGTGGTGGTTCGTTTCAACTCGCATTCAATGAATTTTGAGTTCTGTGTTTTTGGAC